CTAAAGCAGAGGGGCGAAGGGTTTTGATGTGCTGCAAGATCACGTTGCTTTGAGAGGCATCAGGGGACGCGGATGATGGCATAACAGGACCTGACATCAAAAGAGGAGTGGTTGGTTAACACTTGTCTTTATTACTAGGGCGGTTGGGTTTTTGATTCAGAATGCTGAAATCTGCCGCTGGAAGGGAGTGAACCTACCCATTAGTATTTGCTGCTGAAAGGGCACAAACTCACAACAAGCACGCCGTTCCCGCTGAAAGGGCACAAACTCACAACAAGCACACCGTTCGCAGGCAGAATTTGAAGCGATGGTTCTAACCTATAAAGCCCTAAACAGGTTGGGGTCCAAGCTATCTCAAGAATCGTATCTCCCTCTATGAGCCTGCATGAGCGTTATCATCAGGGGAGGCTTTTCTCTCAATCCACCATCTTTGCAGGTGTGTCTGGTGGAGAGGGCCTTCTCATGTGCTGCTCCCAACCTCTGGAACTCCCTCCCACTGGAGGCCAGGCTAGCCCCAACTTTGCTCTCCTTCTGTAAGCAAGCAAAGATGTTCCTCTCCAGGCAGGCTTTCCCTGAATGGATGGTTGCCAAGCAGGATATTTTAAATGGAACGTTGTACCTTACTGCATTGAATGTGTTTTGGTGTTGCTTCTGGTTTTGTTGTTGTTGTTGATTTTTGTACAGTGGTGCCTCACTAGACAGTTACTCCGCATGACAGTTTTTTCACTAGACATTGACTTTTTGTGATTGCTATAGTGATTCGCAAAACAGTGATTCTTATGGGGGAATTTCGCTGGACAATATTTGCTCCCTGCTTCACAAACTGATTTTCACTAGATGACGATTTGCTTTTCACTAGACAATGATTTCACTAGACAGTGATTTCAGTGGAACGGATTATCATCATCTAGCGAGGCACCACTGTATTGTATTCATTGATCCTTTTCGTATTGTGTACTCCTTGTTACTAAAATACTGTTTTTTAATTATTGTAAGCCACATCAGGACCTTTTAAAGGAGAAAGGCAGGTTAAAACAAAATTAAATAAATACGGGCAGAAGGAGACACAGAACAGGTGGGCTTAATTGTGAAAGCAAAGGTGACTGTTGTTCTCCATTCCTCCATCTTGTCTCGCACGTACATCAGTAACATGAGCTTCACTTAATAGGGTAGCGAAGCCCTATATTTGGAAATTAAGTCAAGGTCACATGAAATTAGCAGTGTGACCCTACAGGTATTAGCTGGCAGTCCCAGAACAGATAGTCTACATCTGGCACATAAAACACCTTTTGCTGTTGGTGGTTTTATTTATTGGTTTGGTATTGGTGCAGAGAAGCTAGTTGATTTTTTTTGTTTTGTTTCCAAATCCTGTAAATGACCTTCTAAAAGTGGGTTGGACACACTCTGAAACCTGTAAATTAGTAAATTAAAGTGTCAGTTAATTAAAGACAACCTTCAAAAACGCATATGTTCACAGATCTCAAAAATTAACTGTTTGATTTCTGGGTGTGCAGATATGAACACGCAAATACTTTGCTATTCTTGAACTTTCCCTAATTCACTTCTCTAGGTTTGTGTTTGTGTGTTGTCAAAACAATTCTGACCTTTTAGGGCTTCCCAAGTAGAGAATACTTAGACATGGTTTACCATTCCCTTCTTCTGTGAATGCCATGGGACTGTGCAGTTTGTCCAAAGTCACACAGGCTGGTTCTGTTCAAAGGAGACCGAGTGGGGAATTGATCTTCCAACCTCTGGCTCTTCAGTCAGATTCCTCAACCACTGAGCTATCCAGCCAGCTATTTCTCCGAATCTAACTAGGACCACATAATTCATGAACACCAGCCTACATCTTGGGCCTGAATGCTTGCTTCTACAGGGCCACAACCCACCAGTCCTTTCACTCAAAAGGCATAAAACTGAATGTGAACTTGGTAGCATACTCTGGAAATATCAAGCTGTATCAATCAGATCTGTTCAGCTCCCACATCTTCAGTAGTAGTAGGACCTGGCTAGTTTCCTGCACCTCTTGAACCTGCTGTATGGTATGACCGCTGAATCTTCTAGCATTCCTTCCCAAGTCCCATCTCTTGGCAACACAAGCTTCTCTCGAATCCCATGGTAACTTTCCAGCTTTGAATGGAAGCGCGTTCATTGATGCTTCTCCCCCCCGTTCTGTGTAATGTTTTTTAGCTACAGACGTGCTATGCTTGTAACCAGAGCAACTCTGATTGCCCTTGAGAATTTCAGTTGGAAGAGGTGGAGGGAGGACTCTGGGAGGAAAGATGACAGGTCATTCAGAACATTGGGTTCGGGGGAGGGAGAGGGGAAGTAGAATTGAAGTGAGCACACTGGATTGTCTCAGAAAAGAACAGGGGGAATCTTGACAGTTTGGGTTGCTCATATCCCTTACTCACCTGTTGCTTCTTTGCCTAAAAGAGAAGTGGACAAGTGAGGCTCTCTAGAGGTCGATGGACTTCTACTCCCAGCATTCCTCACCATTGACTGTGCTCTTTAGGGCTGACGGGAGTTGCAGTCCAACAACATCTGGAGGTTGTGGTGGGTCTTTCGGGCTCTTTGGCCGTGTTCTGAGAGTTGTTCTTCCTGACATTTCGCCAGTCTCTGTGACCGGCATCTTCAGAGGACTGGAGTAGGAACTCTATCCATGCTCTGTTGCTGTTTGTTGGATAGTGGAGTATTTATAGCTGCGGAAACAGCTTTTGTCCTTTTCAGGAGATAGTGTGTTTTTGTTGTGGATATATTGTTGTGATAAGGGGGAGAGATTATCTGTCACTGTGGATGATGGGTGTCTTTAGCTGGTCTTTTTTGTGCAATGATCACTGGTCCTTGTGGCTGGGTAGTTCGTTGACCTTCTGCAGACTGTATTTTTTCAGTGCTGGGAGCAAGGCCGTATTAAGTTTTAGACATTCCTCTTTGTTGTTGAAGCTCTGCTGGTGTTTATGG